TATATATATATATATATATATTGTAGGTAACGTGCATGACAAAATTGTACAACGGGGTTTTCATCGAATGCAACTAAAAAATAAAACATACGTGTTGTTTTATTCTTAACTGTAGAAACTTGCTAAATGAAATTTATGCGAATGGTATATATATATGTATATGTAAGCTCTTTCGAGACTTACTTTTACCATTTCATTCCGTGATCCGAACGTCAACCACAAGACGACACAATAACCCATATGAAAGACGGACTTCCGATCGATATGTATATCTATGTATGTATATATACATGTGTATTTATATGTTTACACATGTATGTAGACGCGTATACGAGTAAAATGTACTTTCACAATTCTCAAGAGTTTTCGAGGCCGACTCTCATTATCATTCCTACGAGCTTTGGCACGATGCCATTAAGAATATTATATTGTTTGTATACAGATTAAGAGATTCCCATTCTAAAGGGTCACTTGGAAATTATATATATATGTGTGTGTGTGTGTGTGTGTGTGTGTGTAGTCTAAGTATGTTTATTTATTAAATAAAATAGATCGATTTTTATTACATTTCATATTAATAATAATTTGTTTTAGCAATAATTCTATATAAAAAGAATAAAATACTAGTAGTGTAGTATACTGTTTCTAGAAATATTTTTTCAGTAAAATGAATTGATTTTTATTACACTTGTATGCAAACCTATATATTATTATTCATTACAATAATAATTTGTTTCAGTAATATTAAAAAGAATAAAATACTTGTAGTTTAGTACACAGTTTCTATAAATACAAACAAATATTGGATCTTACTATTTAGTACATTGACACAAAATATAATTGTATAGACTGTATTATTCCTATTATTTAAGAAACAAAAAAAGAATAAATCTATATATAATCTTTTACATTAAAACTATCTCTATTTATGAAGATAATGAAATAATACTGATAAACAATTTTATTTAATTAACGATAATACGACAATAAAACAGATATCAAATAAATCTCTTCAAAACAAACATACGTAATTGATAATTCTAACTATTATTATTTGATTCAATTTTTATAAGAATTATCATTAAATTAGTAGTCACATTTCTGTGACACGTTTTTTATTATTTAAATTAAAAGTAAGAAAAATTGAAATATTTGGAAAAAGACGATGAGAATCTCATTCGAATGAGAGTTTATTAAACCTCTGAGAAAAATCTTTAAAAACGTATTTAGTGACCGATGGTTTTAAAAACTTCATTTACCGTTTAACGCTTGTTAAAATGTCGGACTTATGGTAGCGTAACGTTTCGCGGTAATGCTTTTCCTATACATAAGATTCACGGCCAAAGTAACAGTTTTCTTACAAAACTGTATCGAACTTAGGAGAGTACTGTTATAACAGTAATTTATAACCAATATTACGATCATTTCATTCAATTCATTTATATGATTATTTCGTTATAATAAATAATAACCAATCATAGTAATTCAATTATATTATATTGAATTATAATATACAATCTATATATTGGGTTGTTCAGAAAAAAAAAAAAAAAAAATAAAAAACCCCAGAGTTTATAGTTTCGTTGAACTAGTTTTCAAATAATAGGGGAAAAATAGAAAAAAAGATATTATTACTTCTTTGCACGCAATAAGCATCGAAAGGAATATTGAATTACCGATTTCTATCAAGTGATATTACAAAGCCACACGATTCGTTTCTAATGGTGTTGATTTTTATTTTATATTTTATATTTTATATTTTATATTTTTATTTTTATTATTTTCTTTTTCTAATAAAAAAATATAACACGAGAGTAAATAAGTCATCCTCTTGAGATACGTGTTTATCGTTTCCATTATCGTTAAAAGTATCGTTTAGATTAAACGTATTATTAAATGAAAGATTTATAAATAATATAATATTAATGAATATAATATAATATAATAATAATAATATTTAATACAAATGTTAAATTAAAAATCACATAAAAACAAAAACAAAAAAGAAGACAAATGATAAATTATATTTTATAATTTTTGCAAACATATATATTATAAAATTAGAAATAGTAAAATAGTTCAATTGTAAACAGATATATCGATTAGGATAAATTTGATCTAGTTAAGTATGTATGTGTTCCATATACCAAATAAACGCTAACTAATGACGCAACGTTAGTCGTTTTCTGCAACGTTTAATGCATTTTACCGTTAGAAAGAGAAAAAAACAAAGAAAATACAAAATAAACGACGTTATTATTATTTATAATATACATATATATACACACACACACACAAATATATACTAAATATATATATATATATATAGTCAATATTATTAAAACTTCGACACACTTATCGTATAATTTATTTCTAGATATTACCTTGACAAATTTAAAATTAATTTTACATTGACGTATTAAGATTTAACGCGTAATTGCCTGTAGACGCAATAAATGATTATTATTATTTTTTTTTAATATCAATTAACAATAACGAGTATTAGGAAAAGTATTATAGATAGTAATAAAATGAGAAAAAAAAAATAAAAAATAAAAAGAAGAAGAAGAAAATGAAGCGTGAACGGTTCTAGATGGTAATGACGCGTTGAAAATATTTCCACAATGACCTCAAATACCAATGAGATAGACATCTCCACTCCACGTCCCCCCCTTCACCCCCTTCACCCCCTTCACCCTCTCCCATCCACGCCAATGTTTTGCTAGATGCATTCGTTGCAACATCTCAATGCTATGTGCATTAACTTTGCATTTTGCTATGCGACAAGTTGCAGTAGGTGTCGTTTAGTAATCAAATTTCTATTCGACTTTGTACTCAAACACACACACACATATATATACACATACAGAACAAATTAAAGAGAAATTATTTGTA